CAAAGGGTATCTGCATTGAGATCAGGTTCTTCCTCTGCTCCCCTCCACTGGCTTCCATCTTCTCCCTCCCCTCCCGTCTTTCCTATAAATCCTTAGGGGCAGGGACCCGCTTTCTCAGCTACTGGTGGCATACCTTGCAAATCACCATAGCACCTTGAAGATGCAACTCTCATGTAATTTTGGAAACTAATAAGAAGAGTCAGGCCTGGTTAATAACTGGGATGGAGACCAGACAGGCACAGAAGGGATCTCCAGGGAGGACCAGGAAAGAAGCCTGGCTGGGAACCCTCAGGAGTCATTGCTGCTACCAGTCAGAGTTGGTGATGGTGGGCTACAGTCTCACTCGGTATCAGGATAGATTTCAGTGTTCCTATACGTTTTAGCATCTTGACAGCGCTACAAGAGTTTCACCATATCACCAGCACCACCACTATCATTACCACTGGCACTAGTGCAACAAGAACGGGGCAGCTAATGGTCCCCGTGGAATCTGTTGGAGTGCAGCTTCCATCAGCACCGGCCAGCATAGCCAGTGGTGAGGGATGCTGGGAACTGCAGTCCAAGAACATCTGGAGAGTGACACCCAAATGCAAAAAAACCAATTTCACAACAGCATCTGCAACAACACTGCCAGTAATAACTCTGGCTTGTTATATAAGTGCATCAAACACAACACCCCTGAAAGATGGCACAGATGCATGGGGTCATGACTCAGGGAATGTGGCCTGTTCCCTGGGGACAGGGTGCCCCCTGACGGGAGGGATGGAGCGGGTGGCCGGCAGAGTTCTTCTATCCTCACTGGGATTTCCCCGCATCTTTCCTCAAGCTGTCTTTCAACCTGGTGACTCCTTCATGCAACAACACCCCAAAAATTCACCCCAGGCCACAGCTTGCAGGTGTCCAGGTTGCACCTGATAGACCCTAAATTGTAGCCAAAGACCACAAGAGCTGTGAGATGGATCTTAGATGCCAGCAGGGCCTTAGCTATGGAACATGTAAAGGAAAAACAAAGCAGAGAGTAATACTGAATTCATGGAGCAGGCCTCTTACTTTCACTGCAGATGATCAATCAGGGCTCATACAGCTGGGCTGAGGAAGCAGAATTTGACTGATGCTCCAGTTCCTACAGATGTTTACACAGATAACGTCTTAGCCAAATTCTCCTTAGGGAAAATGCTCTCACTCTAGCACTCTGTTGTGGTGGGTTCTTAGGTAAGCTACCCAAAGCTCACAAGGAGAGATGGACCCTCTGATGGGAGATATCAGAAGCATCCTTGATGTGTCAGCCAGCTCTCTTTCCTCTCACCTCTGGGAGGCCACCCACAGCCTAAGGGGGTTCTCTGGGGGTTGGTTGGAATGTGCTCTGTAATTGTATTAAACCAGTCTTTCATGTGCCAGCTGGAAGTGATAGAAGCTGTGGTGCAGCACACCAGGAGGATGGCAGTTGGGAGAGATCTCTTCAGTAAGGAAGGCCCAAAATTGTGAAAACAAGAGTTTGAGAGGCTCCTGGTCAAGGCTGTTTCTGAGCAGAGCACCCTTGAGTGATAGAAGGATTTTCCCCACCTTGTTGCACACAGCACCTCTTCTGTTTCAGTGATCTCTTTGCTACAGGATTGTTTGACAGCCAGAAATTTTGCATTCTCAGATTCCCTGCTCTGAAAGCTCACCTCCCTGCAACAAGGTTCTCCCACCACCACCCCATTAACTAACTTGTTCCCTGACATTACATGTGGCAAGATGTCTCCAAATCCCATGGAGTACTACTTCCCCCTCTATTTGACAATGGTGAGGCCTCACCTTGAGTCCTGAGTCCAGTTCTGGACACCACACTTTAGGAAGGAGGCCAACAAACTGGAGCAAGTTCAGAGGAGGGCTACAAGGGGACCAGAAGCCAAGCCCTAGAATGAAAGATGGAAAGAACTGGGCCTGCTCAGCCTGGGGAATAGAAAACTGTAGAGAGATAGGATAGCACTTTTCAAATACTTGAAAAGTAGTCCTACAGAGGAGGGGCAGTATCTGTTACTGATCAATGCAGAGTGCAGGACACGCAACAATGGGCTCAAGTTACAGGAAACCAGATTTTGGCTGAATGTCAGGAAAAATGTCCTAACTGTTAGAACAGTACAACAATGGAGCCCATGATCTCAAGCGATGGCGAGTGCTCCTGCAGATATCCTTCAACTTGGACTACCGTCTTGAGCAGGGGGTTGGACTCGATAGCCTTGTAGGCCCCCTTTCCGCTCTATGATTCTATGTAGATGATTGGAGATGCTTCATTCAGGAGTGTGGTGGAATTGGAGGATCTCACTTTGGTTTATTGTCCCAGGAGTGAAAATGGCATCATGTGTGAATGCATGTTTGTTTTGCAAGTCAAGTGCCGGGAGCTCATCCAGTCCTTGTCTGAACCTGCTATAAAATGGAGGAGTGCAATCTCACTATGTGATTAGGACTTAATGCTATCACGAGTTGTTGTTGCTTTAATAATGATAGCAGCATTTCTAATGGAAATTATTTTTGTTTTTTAGAGCTCTTAGGAGGTGTCGCTGCTCTGCAGGCTCGTACTCTGAGTTATCGGACAGAAGATGCAGAAGAAAGGCGGAAGAGAAAGAAAACAGGAGGACACTGAGCTAAAAAGCCGTGATTTAAAAAGGAAAATGATTTATGCCACAAGAGGTTATTCTTAAAAATAGGCTATTCTTGAAGACAGGACTGTGTCCATCTTTGGGAGAAACATGTCCCATCCTGGAGCTGTGACCTAAGGAAAAAGACAGAGGTGGGCAGCAGCATATGTATGTGGCCTTTTGTCAAATTGGGAAGTGCCACCAGAGCGATACAGGCCCTGAACGCAGATGGTCTGGATATTGAAAAAGTAATCACCCTTCTCTTTCCCCCCTGCAGCTCTTTCTCTGCCTCCCCTCCTATCTCAACCCTTCTTTCCTGGCTAGGAACATTGCAACGAGTCCTTTCTAAACTGGAGCCCAGGGTGGGGGTAGCCCCAGGAAGACTCCAGGGGAGGCTCAGACACATGGAGAGTCCCCAGCTCCCTACAGAACAGCAGGTTGGGGTTGGGGTTAGGGGAGTGGGAGAACAACCCCAATACATTTCGTTCTCTGCCAGGACTCAATACTCATCTTCTCAGGCCCAGCAAAGCCATCGTCTTGGAGATGTATACATTTTCTGAAAAAAGCTAACCACTTTCTCTCCCTCTCCTTCTCTGCCAAACCACAAAATAAGAGGCTACGGGATTTGTCATAATTCCCCAGAACTCCTGCATTTAATTGCTGAGAGAGACTGCCAGAGCAGAAGGCTGGTGGCCAAGGTCACACCCAAGCCAAGGTTAAGTGTGTGCAGTAATTAACAGTCTTTAATAAAAATAATTTTAAAAATCAGATTCATTGATGGATTAAGTTCTGATGACAACAACGGCAAGAAACAGAGAAGCTGATGAGAGAGGAACTATGACAACCATAAATGATGAACAAGGAATTTAGGAGAAATCTGTTCCCCTTTTTCTGTAAACAAGAGCGCTTTCCGGCTTTAATGCTCCTACGAAGAGCATGAAACCAGCAAGGCTTTCTGCCTCTACAAGGGCCCTGGAGACACATCCCTCTGCACTTGCTCAGTGCTGAACAGCTTGCACCTTCTCCGTGGGAACTAATAACCTAAAAAGAGCCAGATCCCTTTAGGCTGTTGTTAAGGCTGCCAGGTCCCGACACATCTCAGCTGGTTATTTATTTGCTCTTGTTACTTCCAAGAAACCATCCCGAAGAGATCTGTGAGCAATCCATCTTCCAAAAGCCAGTCTCCTTCATAGAGACAACCAGTTGGGTGCTTCAGCACTTCCTGAAGGACAAATATTTAGAAGCACAAAGGACAGAAAACAGCATCCTCTTTCCTCCAGGCGCAAATAACCTCATCTGGTGCTCAGCTAAGCACACCATGGGGAGACAAGGCAGTGCAAATTAACCTGTACCCCCAGTATACAGACGCTGACAAACACAACAGAATGGAAGAGTGTGTCTTTGATGCACAGCTTTGAAAAAAGTGCTTTTTTCTATGATTGTTTCCAAAATCCCCCAGTGAGGGGGGGGGTCTCTGGCCATCCTAGCTGAGGACACTGGACCCCACAGATCAAAAAGGGATTTTTCGCTCTTTACATTAGACTACACCTATTTGCCTTACAGCTGACCTTAAGACACAGTCCCTGGGAGAGCAGTGCTGTGGTTGCTCCATCATAGTGATGCACATAAGGAGGAGAAAGAGATTGTGAGCCACAAAAGTTCTGAGGTCTTCCCTCATGCCACCACACACAAAAACGCACCAGTTAGGATCTCCACAACTCCAACGCACTTTTACCCCCAGCCCATCCACACCCTGAGAAATTCACATCCACCGGCAAGACAAACAAGGCCAGAAAGGATTCAGCTGGCTATCCCAGAGGCTAGTCGACTGCCTCCCATGTGCCACCTCCCAGGAAATACCTTTCAAGGGATGCACTGTTGCCAAGCTCCTGTGAGACGCTACTGCAGAACGCAAAGTGTACACTGACATAGGAGAAGATCAGCCGACGGAGGGGGGGGAGGAAGGTGGCAGAAGCAGTCCAAAGGCACTCCTCCCACAGAGGACATGGAAGCGCAGGGCAGCATCGCTTCAGGACCCTGGACAGCTCTCTGTTTCTCAAAAGGGCCAGTGAGAGATAAGAGATGCAGAGCCTCTGAGATGGCAGGGAGCTGTCCGACCTGGCTGAGGGTCGCTGGCAGACCAAACCCTCTGTGAAACATGTCCTTGGCAAAGCTCCCTCCATCCAGGGCCCCTCCCCTCAGCACCAAGCAACTGGCTTACCCAGCCAGTGGGCCACAGAGAGACCCAGCAGCCACAGGCACTTCCTCGTCTGCCCGCAAGAAGCAGCTAATTCAGCTGAGAAGTGCTGGGTGCTGCTGGGTGAGGCCAAGGTGGCCCTTCCCCCTCCTCCACCATTTTTTGGGGGTAGTTCCTCTTACCTGGTTTTGCCACGGCTGATTCTCCTGAGCGTGTGGGCATCCGCCTCCTTCTCCTCCTGCACACGCTGCAGCGATGGGGAGCGACTGTGGGCACTCCGAGTGCTGCCCGTGCTCACCAGGCTGCTGTCCCCCACCCCGACAGCTGCTTCCTGCATCTGGGCCAGCAGCTGTTGGGGCAGGCTGCGGAGTGAGGGCACTGGCGAGTAGGACGGGCGGCTCTCGGACTTCAAGTTGTTGTCGCTGGCCGACCGCTGCAGCAGGTGGGGGGAGGAGAGGCCACCCACACTGATGATCCGTCTCCTCTTTGTGTAGCTAGGAGTTTCTCTAAAAGGCACTAAAACAGAGAGAGAGAGAGAAAAGAGAAAACATAGCGGCAACTTAGTGGCTATTAATAGTTAACAAAGCAGAAGAACCAATGCACTTAAGTTGACTTTAGGGCTGCTAAGTTGGGTCTAATGGACTTTGACTGAAATACTCAAAGTGGACCACTAGGTAGACTGCTGGTGGGTCCCTATGGTGTAAATGGCTTTGGAAACATTCTTAACCTGAACACAGAGAACTGGGATAACAAGAGCAAGAAAACTATGTCCAAGGACTTCCTTTCCACAGGGGAGCAGAGCCAGACTCTTTCCCAAGATGGAAGGTGGCTTTCAGGACTTGGGAAAAAGAGGTGGGAGCCTGCTGCAATGGCTACAGGTAACAGAGATGGGTGTGGCATAATGAAAGTATATATAGCCAAGCGCAACAGAGTAGAACATTCCTTCTGTTATGGATCTAGGCACCATTTTAAAGAACACTGCCCTCATGCCCACGTGAATGAGTCAATCCACTCACACGGCCGGGCAGTTTCTGTGCTGCATTCCAAAATTCCAATTTCTCTAGTAGCATTCAAATTTTTCCAGGCGACAACTTAAAGCAGAAGGCACAGCGCCATCCACTTCTGTGCCGGGAAATCAAGATCCGGCTGTGCCGGAAAGGAAGACACCACCTGCTTTGACAGGTGCTCAGCTGATGAGGCCTGAATTTCTTCACATCTTGAAGCCCTCCTAGTTTCCATTTTAAATACATTTATATATACTTTCACTGTGAAAAGGCAAGGAGACTTCTTTAAGCGATGTAAAAAAAAAATCACAAATGATTCCTGTGCCTTTCAAGGAACCTGCTCTGAATATGTATAACTCCAGAGAAGCAACTGCAGTAATTTAAAACATTAGCAGGAATGTGACTGTTCAATCTGGAAGGGCTGGCAGAGGAATGCTGCCACCCTTAAAAGTGTTCCTTTTGGGCTGCTACTTACAGTATTTCCTGCCTCTGAGTGATGCACATCCAGGATGAAAACAACCACTACAGCCCCTCTCTCATCACCATAGCTGGGAGAAATATAGAACCAATTTTCTCTTGAATGCCTCTGGTGTTGGAGTGCTCACTACATCCCAAAGTTACTCCTTCCACTGTCATACTGCTCTAACAGTTAACAAGTTTTTCCTCATCTTAAGCCAATATTCAGCTTCCTCTCATTTGAGACCATTGTTGTGTGTTCTGCACTCTGGGATGATGGAGAACAGATACTGCCTCTCCTCCATAGAACTTTTGTTGTTTAGTCGTTAAGTGGTGTCCAACTCTTCATGACCCCATGGACCAGAGCATGCCAGGCCTTCCTGTCTTCCACTGCCTCCCGGAGTTGGGTCAAATTCATGTTGGTCTCTTCGGTGACCCTGTCCAACCATCTCATCCTCTGTCGTCACCTTCTCCTCTTGTCTCCGCACTTTACCAACATCAGGGTCTTTTCCAGTGAGTCTTCTCTTCTCATGAGATGGCCAAAATATTGGCGCCTCAGCTTCAGGATCTGTCCTTCCAGTGAGCACTCACGGTTGATTTCCTTCAAAATGGATAGGTTTGTTCTCCTTGCAGTCCAGGGGTCTCTTAAGAGTCTCCTCCAGCACCACCATTCAAAACCATCAATTCTTCGGAGATCAGCATTATTTATGGTTTAGCTCTCACTTCCATACATCGCTACTGGAAAAATCATATCTTTGACTATGTGGACCTTTGTCAGCAAGGTAATGTCTCTGCTGTCTAGGTTTGTCATCGCTTTCCTCCCAAGAAGCAGGTGCCTCATGATTTAGTGGCTACTGTCACCATCTGCAGTGATCATGGAACCCGAGAAGGCAACATTTGTCACTGCCTCCATATCTTCCCCTTCTATTTGCCAGGAGGTGACGGGACCAGTGGCCATGATCTTAGTTTTTTTGATGTTGAGCTTCAGACCATTTTTGCACTCTCCTCTTTCACTCTCATTACAAGGTTCTTTAATTCCTCCTCAATTTCTGCCATCAGAGTGGTATCATCTGCATATCGGAGGTTCTTGATATTTCTTCCAGCAATCTTAATTCCGGTTTGGGATTCCTCCAGTCCAGCCTTTTGCATGATGCATTCTGCATATAAGTTAAATAAGCAGGGAGACAATATACAGCCTTGTCGTACTCCTTTCCCAATTTTGAACCAATTAGTTCTTCCATATCCAATTCTAACTGTTGCTTCCTGTCCCATGTATAGGTTTCTCAGGAGATAAATAAGATGGTCAGGCACTCCCCTTTCTTTAAGAACTTGCCATAGTTTGCTGTGGTCCACACAGTCAAAGGCCTCTGTGTAGTCAATGAAGCAGAAATAGATGTTTTTCTGGAACTTTCTAGTGTTCTCCATAATCCAGCACATATTAGCAATTTGGTCTTGAGTTCCTCTGCCACTTTGAAATCCAGCTTGTACTTCTGGGAGTTCTCGGTCCACATACTGCATAACCTTGCTAGTGTGTGAAATGAGTGCAATTGTATGGCTGTTGGAGCATTCTTTCGCACTGCCCTTCTATGGGATTGGGATGTAGACTGATCTTTTCCAATCCTCTGGATATTGCTGAGTTTTCCAAACTTGCTGGCATACTGAGTGTAGCACCTTAACAGCGTCATCTTTTAAGATATTAAATAGTTGAACTGGAATGCCATCACCTCAACTGGCCTTGTTGTTAGCCAGGCTTTCTGAGGCCCACTTGACTTCTCTCCTGGATGTCTGGCTCAGGGTCAGCAACCGCACTATCTGGGTTGTCTGGGATATCAAAATATTTCTGGTATAATTCCTCTGGTTATTCTTGCCACCTCTTCTTGATGTCTTCTGCTTCTGTTAGGTCCCTACCATTTTTGTCCTTGATCATGTCCATCTTTGCACAAAATGTTCCTTTAATATCTCTGATTTTCCTGAACAGATCTCTGGTTTCTCCTTTTCTGTTATTTTCCTCTATTTCTTTGCATTGTTCATTTAAGTAGGCCCTCTTGTCTCTCCTTGCTATTCTTTGAAGTCTGCATTCAATTTTCTGTAACTTTCC